CTCTACCATTGAATGAAGTAGTTAAGAATAGCTGTAATTGATAAATTGATCAAATAATCATTGCTGCTGTGCCACGTTTTCCAGCTTCTCCTCCAGCTCATCAGAGCAGCCCTGAATCCTGTTTTCCTTCATGGTAACCTCTGTGGAGCGAATCATGCACCTTTACACATATTCCTGTGTTATTAGCGTGACTGATGGTCCTGGACTTCAGTGTGTTAAAGGAACTTCTCGTGCTTCTTGGAAGTGGCTGGCGACTTGAGGACACTGTGAAGCAGACTGGCGTCCTCTACAGAGCAGTGTGTGTGTGTGTGTGTGTGTGTGTGTGTGTGTGTGTGTGTGTGTGTGTGTGACTTCATAATGATGTCCTCTCCTTGTTCAGTCCGCTGGCTCCGGCTCATGGTAAGTGCCGGACAATGGTCGACTGTAGAGGTCAGAGAAACAACAATGGACTCTATCAATAGTTTATTGGCTGTGCATCTGTAGAGAACCCACCCAGAGTATTTTTACAGTGATGAGAAGGTCAAGACCCCAAATCCTTCAAAACCTTTACACACTGAAATAACTGTTTTGTTTTTAAATTAAACAATTGATGATGTTTCAAGTTTCACTGTGTGCTGCAGTTTATAAAAGTAAAAGCAGAGTGAGCCGTGTCACTGATCAACATTTTAATATGACCTTTGAGAAAAAAATCCATAAAGACAAACCAATGCACACATGACGAGACTCTTAACATGCAGCACAACGTTCCTGTGCGTGTGTGGAGTCTCAGGAAAGAGTCAAGTGCTGTTGGTTTGTATACAATGAGATAAAGTGTGTGTGTAAGTTCCTGTGTGTGTGTGTGTGTGTGTTTGTAAATTTGTTCTCAGATAGATTTCCCTGCAGATTAGATGTGGCCGATAAATCAGATATGACCTTGGCGGACACATCATCTGTGTGTGTCTGTTCTTGATATTTAGCTTTAACACACTTTAATTCTACATTCATTATTTTTCAGCTCATGATGGAAATATCAGGCTCTTTAGCTGCTAAATGCTCGAGTGTGTTCATCACCGTCTCGCCCTCTGCTTCTAGAGCTGTAGACAGTTGACAATGAATAAGTTGCTTTTTCAAACCTTAAAACCTGTAAAACCAAAACAACGACCAGCAAAAACAGTGGAAGGAAAAAACAGACGAAGAAGAGTGACACATTATATCTGAACATGAATATTAATGAACATGATTCCCTGCTGTTTAATTTGCCCTGTTATAATATTGTATTTGATACCTGTCAGAAACACGTATCCTCTGTGGCCCTGGTGTAACTGACAGCTAAATTACAACAGATAGCCGATTGATTAAAACACAAAATGCCACATGGAGGTTTCAGGTGGGATTATGGGGCAGATGTTCGGATCCGGAGGGATGTGTGTCTGTCGTCTGTAATCAACGATCGTATGTTTAATACATCAGCTCCAAGCACCTGCTGGGAATCTAACACGTATGATGGAATGAAGGAAAGCTCACACAACAGTTGTCACACGTGAGCTTTAAGCGTGTTATGAATGTAAATCTCAGGCATCACGCGAAGATGGCAGGAGGGTGGAAGAAGATGGATGAGGAGAGGAAGAGGAGAGATAATGAACATGTGCAGTTTTGTGTCACATTTAATGCTTCTTCCTAGTATAAAAAATAATATTGTATAATTTGCAATATGTGGCTCTGAGTGTTTTGTGTCGTAGAGACTGTGCTGCCCATATAGATGCACTGTGTTAATCTTTATATGTCCGAGGCAAACTCTGGAAAATGCCCAGAAAATTATGTCTGGACATTTTCCGGGGTTTGTGTCTGTAAATAGCTTACTCTGTTCTCCAAGCATGAGGAACCATAAAACTGAAAATTTCCGCATATTTCCTGAAGTTGGTTCTGGTCATGTTCTCCCCATATGTAACACCGTAGTTTGCTTCTTTAAAAAGCACAAATATCTGTGTTTTAATCCGTTTTGTTTTCATCATTAACTTGAAATGAAAGATTTTGCATCATCGAACTCCAGACACAAAAATAAACGCTGTAGAGTTTGACCCCCTCTAAGACACGCTTGGTGTAACATCATCATATGAGTGAACAGTTATGGAGGCACATGACGCCAGGAGCAAATATGACAGAGATGAGTGTAAAAGGGAAAGACTGGGAGAAGAAGCAGGAAGGTGCAGTGGAATTCCCACACCCTGATGTGGGTGGACCCGTCCTGCCCTGAGAACAGAGCATTCACATTCTCTCTCCTCCTCTCCTCTTTTTCTCCTCGCCCTCCCCTCCCTCCCAACTTTCTCCTTCTTTGCTGGAACAATAGGGGCCGCGGAGAAACAATGTGAAAAGGAAAAGGCCGGGGGTTTCTGAGGCAGCGATAGAGGGGGTGGTCTGAGGTGCTGAGAGGGGAGAAATGGGCGAGAGGGTCCTGCAGCTTTGCAGGGGGAGGAATGTATAGAAGATCAGCAGGGATGAGGGGCGACGTTAAAGAGGATGACATAAGATTGAGGAGAAGGGGTGGAGAGGAGTAGCCATGGCATCGTGGGTAACACAGGAACATGGCCTGTAGGGGGCCTGGGGGGTGGGGGGGGTACTTTTTGTGGGACTCAATCATTTCTCTGCCTGACTGAGCCTGAGAGTGGCCACGCTGAGTCGCTCACAAAGTTTGAACACAAAATAAAACTCAACACAATGAAAACCAGTGGAAATAAAGCTGCTCTGATCAATCAGATTTCTCAAACTGAAGAGCAGAGGGCCACAGTTTTACACCCAGGCAGTGGTTTACACAAATATTATATACCTGGGTTCTCAAATATCAGATCAACAGTGAATCGACAGTGAATTCCAACAAACCAAAAGACTATTTATCCATTATTCTATTAGTGTGCAGTATTATAACGGTGTATTCGACACATACAGCTCTCAGAAGGTCAAACGTAAAACAGCAGTATAGGAAAGTATAAGGTCATGGGTGTGTGTGTGTGTGTATGTGTGTGTGTGTGTGCATTGAGGGGGAAGGTGCAAACCACTGCAGAAAATAGATCCAGAGTGAAGGGTGTGTGTGTGTGTGTGTGTGTGACCTAAAACTGCCTCTGCTGCCTGTATATGTGAAAGAATGGAAAGATGTGATCACCACCGCGACGGCCATTTTAGAGTCACCTACACACAACTCAACTCTGCCATGACGACAGCGACTCACATCTACAGCAAACTTCAGTGAGATGAACCCACGGTGACGTCAGAAGAGACGCTCTCATGGTTTTTAAATGAGCTTCCTTTTAGAATTCAGATTTTAGATGAGTCATTATAATTAGTCTTAAACACCAATGGCTGACCGGTGGCACAGTCCCACCTCTATTAATCAATTACTTCCAGTTAGACCAGTTTTGAGGCAGGACACACAGTTCTCTTCTTTCTGCAGAACAACCTGTTGTGTTGGTCTGTAGCGCCATCGTGTGGCACTGATATGTCTTGCAGTCATGTGCAGTTTATTAGAACATTATCGTTAGATAGAGCAGCTTATTGACCAGCAGGAGCAGAGACAGTTACAGGGGATGGGTCCACCCCTCATCTCAATCATCTTCCTCTTCAGGGATCAGGGATTGTTTAATAATCAGCCTCATCTGGCAAATGTACACTTCACGCACAGATCTTTAATCCTCTTCATCATGACTCTTTCTTCCTAACTATATATATATATATAAATATGGTTATATGGTTATATGAGGTTTGTTTACCTCTTAGTTCTCTTGTGTTGCAATGCAACGATTAAAGGTCAAAAGGTAAAATGTTTAATAGACTTAAAGTATTATTATTAATATGAATGCATTTTTATTGAAGACAACAACAACAACTATAATATAAATATTCATAGTCATATAAATGTTTTGAGAAAAGAAATCCGTAAATAAAGTTAGTATCATGATTATAAGTGGTATCAACAGTATGATCAGTAACTATAACAATAATAATAATGTTTTGTAATGATACATCAAAATGTTCATATTATTCTTCTCAATATTAATAAAACAATTGATAATGATATCATTGTCATTGACACTATTGCTATTACAATGTTGTTCCACATTGTAATCATAATAATAATAATAATAATAATAACAATACCGTCGTGCTCATAATCATTAATATTATTATTATTACTGTTACGATGTGAAACACATGTCACACATGATGATGACATCAGCAGGCTTTATGAAGACGCCCCCCCCCTCAGTGTGTCTCTCGGCTGTGGAAGGAGGCTGCAGCCTGAGGCTCTGTGAGTAACCTCGATCGAGAGCACAACACTAGAACAGCAGAGTGCCCGGACATGATTTAAACACGTAACCAGACTGTGTTCGTGCAGTAACTTCGCCAGAAGCTAGTTTAGCAGCACTAGCTAGCTAGCTATTTTCCAGCTAGTGGTTGCTAGCCAGCTGGATAAAGTTGGTTACATGCACTAGCCAGCCGGCTTGCCTGCTAGTGCTAGTGATCCGGTGTTTGTTTATAGTAGCTAGCTACGTTACTGTGAAGTTAAGACATCATATTTGAATCACTCCATCATTAACCAGTGTGTGTTCTGTGTGTGCACGTGTGGACTGTTTGCACTGTTTCCCACAGCATGGCAGAAAAAAAGCAGAGGGGGCATAAGAGCTTTCTTTATTTAGGCAGAGGAAAGTTAGGAACTGTTCAAACAGCATGACTGGCATTGTAAAAACACATCTATTCTGATATTCTGATTCATATCGAATCATGCATGAAGGTGATTTATGGTGCAATGGTATGAGCTGCATACGTGCAAACTTTTTTGTTCGACCCCCCCCCCATCCTGACATCAGATCTGCACTCCTTTAATGAATCATCGTCGTCATCATCATTATTATTATACAGTATAATCATCATTATTAGTATTATACAGTATAATAATAATAACAATGATTTATTAAACAATTCATCCCCCACTGCCGTAAATCATCTGACGGGAGCGAGCGCCTCATCAGCGCCATCCTGGCAGCAACGACTCGGTGCGCGTTCACGATCCTCAGGAGCCGGTGCAGGGCGTGAAGAGTCGGATCAGAAACACTGACACGGGCGTCGGTTCCTCTCGTTAATAACGACACCGACGCACACACGGTTGTTCTCCGGCGCCGAGAGGAGAACGCGACGGGGACGGCGCTGACGCAGTGTCCGATAGTCTGCAGTTTTCAGCCGGGACGAGTCCGGGCCTGGTTGGTGTAATGGGGAATCTAATGCCGGCAGCGTAAGTGAAGGACACGATGATCTAAATGACATTTACTCACCTTTTACCTTTTTAGCTGTGAATGAGGAACACGAGTCCACATGAGAGGAAGCATGCACGAGCATGCACGAGCATGCACGAGCATGCACGAGCATGCACGAGCATGCACGAGCATGCACGAGCATGCACGAGTGAGTGTGGTACAGGCCTGAATGAGCTTTGCTGTAAATCTAACACCAAGAGGTCAGTTATAACTAATGATAATCTGCATATTATTATCCCCTCAAAGGACAACCAGTGCAGATGATCAGTGGATGGATGGGTATTCATAATTATAATGATAAGAAAAATGTAATTACATTTCAGACCCCTCTTTATTCAAGTGTATTGATGTTGGCAAAATGCAGATGTGGGAAACCTTTTCCCTGTCAAGACCTAATTTTAAATTTCTTTTTTATCAAATTCTGTTTATTGAAGGAATTTCAATATATCCAAGGTGCAATACTGAATGGTCGTTACAAAAACGTGTGGTAGACATGAGTGCATCAATTAGCACCGCTGGTCCAGATAGGCATGAATTGGGTAATATAACTTAAAAAGAACAAAACCAAACAACAGCAGCAACGACAAATGCAACGTTATACAGAAAAGTAAGAGAATATATCAAACATAATCTTCATATGTAAAATAATCCCTCCCTAGTCACTGCCAATACACTGCAATAAACTAGTAAACCAACCAACCACTTGCATCTGGTGTCAGATGGTAGTGATGGTGAGCGGAAATTAGTCTTTACAAAGGTCTACTTTGAAAATCATGTCCCACAGCAGTAGTTGGAACCAAACAGGTGCAAACTTCAGCGCGTGTCTCTTCAGAATAGAGAAAATCCTGAGGACGCACACACTATTTTGAAATAGAACTCAATCAGAGGAACTTTGAGCTCGTGGTAGCTTTGCAGCCTAATGATGTCACGCTGCCGGTCGCCGAGCTCAGGCTCAGGTGGTTCTTTGGCTTCTTTTGTTTAGGCTTCATGTTCTGAAACCAAATTCCTGAAGCTGCTTTCCAAACCCGTCTACATTCTCAGGCATCACAACAGGCTCTTGTTCTACAGAGTTTAAGAAAATGCAGTGTTTGCACACAGAGCACAATTTTACTTTGTCTGGTTTTAGCAGCTTTACAGCAGCACCAAGGTTTCAGCTTCTTATCTGGTCATTTGCTCACGGCTAAACGTTAGATCAGAATGTGATCTCGTGGAATCTGCTTGTTGGACACGTTAACACCAAAAAGTGTTCACTTTATCTACATGTGTTTGCAACTGCAACTGATCCAGTTGAGCAAGTTTCCAGCTGTAAAGACGGTTGACGTTGAACCTATTTTAATCACTTTGAATGCGTCTTTGAAACTTAGACACACGTCAGTGAAACATTTATATAATATAGATATTTTCTCCAGTCCTCTTGAGAACCGTGCAGTTCCTTTGAATTTCCTTGAAGTCGCCCAGCAAGGACATGTGTTTTTCATTCACGCTGACTAACAGCTTGAAGAGATTAAGAATGCTAGTTTAGTATTTTATCTTTATTCTCAGAAAAAAATATCTCTGTCATCTGTACATTTGTTACATTCTGTACATTTATAATTTCTATGCTTATCTCATGTGAACATTTTGGTTTGTTTGTCATATTAAATCTGACTTTTTGTCATTTTGTCTTTTACTCTAGTTTTCTCTGGACTGATCACACGATGCCTGAACAAGACAGTGGAGGGATGTTCATGACCTGGAGGATCAGGAACAACATAACTTATTATTATGCTGCATTTCCAGAGGCAGGTCACCAGATGCTGTGTCCAGCCAAAGACTCTCAGACCTCCCCTGCTCTGTCACCCTCAACTCTTCCCCTCAGTGACTCCCCCTCTGCAGACCCCTCCTCCTCTCCATTGCTCTCTGATTCACCCTCGCACACAACTGCCTCCACCCACAGCCAAACACATTCCCGTCCCCTTCTTCTTTTCTTCTCATGGCTAGGTGCCCGGCCTGGGGCAGTGGCCAAGTACAGGGACCTTTACTTGAACTGCGGCATCGATGTCCTTGTGGTGCAGAGCCGTGTCATGCACTTCCTGTGGCCTCGATGGGGCCTCGACTACGGATTGGAGGTGTTGCAGGTGTTGGAGAAGCCTCAGTTCTCGGGGCGGGAGGTGCTGGTCCATTCGACTTCCATCGGTGGCTACACTTTCACCCAGGTACTCACCCACATCGCTCAGGAGCCTAAACAGCATGCAGGCCTGGCCCAGAGGGTGATAGGACACATCTACGACAGCTTGGTGGCCGGTACTCTGGAGCACATGGCGACAGGTGAGCGACAGTGATCAACTGCATGTCCAGCGAGCTCAGGTTACATTCGTGTCGAAGTTGTGTGTCATATCTTTAAATAATTCATCAGGCAGCCGACCCACTGCCCCAGTTGTTAAAGGCTCCAGGAATTCTTTGTGGCAACTAGTTCCTCATGTAACTTGCCTCAGGACAGTTGTTGCAAATGTCAATTTACATTTATATAAGACTAACTTTTTTTATAGATAGATAATATAGATAGGAAATATCAACCCAAAATAAAATGAAAATCTTTTTTTTGCAGCCACTGTCCTAATGCAGGCTCCAAACAAGGTGGCTTTAACTCAAGAGTTTTGATTCTACTACTATATCTCTGTCATTTTTGTGTTATTTATGTTTTTATTTTATTATATTTTTGTCTACAAAATGTCCCCAAATGTAAAAGAAATTCCCACCAGGAGAGAAGGATAAGTAATAACCCAAATTAAATGCCTGAACTTGAATATGAGTACAATATGTCTCTTTTTAATGTAACCCTCTTGATCATATGCTCTCTCGTTGCTGTTCAGGCCTCGGCAAGACTCTGGTGCCTCGTTTCGAGGGCTTCGTCAAATACACAGCCATGCTTTACTTCTGGCTCTTCAAATCCCACACAGCAGACTTTTACGACAACGGTGTCCAGGTTTTCCGCAACAGCCCAATAACCACGCCAGCCCTCTTCTTCTACAGCGAAAATGACGCCCTTTGCGACTGGGTTGCCATGGAAAACGTTATTGACCTCTGGAGGAAGAGAGGCATGGCCGTGGAGAGCAAGAAGTGGAAGGAGTCGAAACACGCAGCGCACATGCGATGCCACCCGCAAGACTATCTGTCTACACTGGAAAGATTCTTGAAGTCACTGCCGACCCTCTCCCTCAAATCAAAATTGGAATATGTCAAATAGATGAATTTTTATCTTGCAGGTTGAACAAATATATTTATTTTTCTCTCTTTAGTGTTTTCTGCTGTTTGACTTAGTTGTTTTTGAATATAGTTCTTCTTGCTTGAACCAGTCAGAGACGTACTGAATACCTGACAGAAGCAAAATCACTCTACTGGCTTATATATAAGTATCTATTACTCTTTGTTTTTTGTCTTATGGTAAAATATCTATGTCGGGATTCTATGAGAATGACGACTTATTGTTTCTTGATCTCGTTGGTCAGCAGTCTGACTGCTAATGTGAGGTTAGGCCAAAGAAACTTGGGACACCCACTGATCTCACTTTGTGGTCCACGCCACTGATTGCTGCACAAAATGCATTTGAGAAGCATGAATGAAGAATTTAATGTGATGCACAGAAAAAATGAAACATGAATGGGAATGTTTGGGCAATTGTAATATATTTGCAGTGTGTGCACAATTTTTAAAATAAAAGATAAGAAAGTGACAAAGTGTTCCAATTATTACCAGACATCAAAAATATA